ACAACATTATTGAACATGCTTTTGCCTTGCTTAATAAAATTTGCTCATAGCTTGGAAGCAGTCAAAATAAATGAACCAAATAAAAACTTCCAGAGATTTTGAATGTGTGATTTTCCGTAGTTTTAACTTTAACTCAATCTAATAATTTCATCAATGCTTTTCCTTTTTAGATTACGTTCACTGGCATTATCCAGATTTTCCTTCATTTTTCTCAGATTTACTGGTGCAGGCTTCTTTGCAATGTATGCTACACTTGCCAGCCAGATGTGGACTGTTGTTTGATTCCAGAATCACCCTTCTTTCTGGAAAGGGTAGTGGATGTAATAGATATTGGTGAACATGTCTAAAACTCTGTTAATTTTCTTGTTTGGGTAAGCTAGCGTCATTTGGTACTGTTAATTCTGTTTGAATTGCATGCATTTAAATTCATGAATGTAATGAAACATTAGTGAATTTTTATCAGAAATGTTGGAAAAGGCAATAGCAACTCCTCAAACTGTTTCACCAATATAGTGTTCCCCATTACTTGAGGTATGTTGTAGAATTAAAATTATGTCATAAAATTCTCTACTCAACTTTTGAATGATCCCATTGAATGAAATTTCTAACTACGCTAGTTCTACTATATTTTGAAGTCCTGTATAGGAGAATGGGTATGTATAACTGTGTCATATATATGTGTGAAAATATATATATATATAACTGAATTCTTTGCTTCTCTTCTATAGCCATTGATATGAGCTTGTTAAGTGAAAGGTATTGCAAAACTGACGCTTCATGTTTCCATTGTCTTAGCCAGAATGAACATCTCTCTCTTCATGTAATGCAAAGAAACACATAAGTGTAGATAAAAAGTCATATCATGAGTTTGAGTTAAGTTCTCTAAATCCCCAGCAGAGTTGCCAGAAACCGTGGCTCTTTTTTTTTGCCCCCCCCCCCTTTCCAAAAAAACCCCCCGCCCCCCTTTTTTTTTTTTTTTTTTTTTTTTTTTTTGGAAAACCTTTTGATTTGGAGGTTTTTAGGCTATTTTTGTTTTGGAGGCTATATTAGCCTAAACCATCTCTTCCCAAACAGTCCCTATATATATAAATCTTCTCTCTTACCGTGGTTGATTAGATTGAACTATGGTTTCATCATTGATCGAACCATCATATTGCGAACGCATTACTAGTTTAGGTATGTGTTGTTTATCCTAATTTATTTTGATCGTTAGGTGTTGATTTTTCCTAATTTTTATTCATAACTGAGTGTGTGTTGATTTCGATTTACAAAATTTGTAATGTTTTATGCATAGTATGTCTGTATTGCTTTAATTTTTTGGGATTGTAGTTAAAAGTAAGGTGGGGTGGGTATAGAGCTTCATAAATAATGTGTATTTTTTTTTCATGATATTAACTTTGGGTATTTTTTTATGAAAAATGTTTTGTAACTCGAAAGTTTCCCCCCCTCCGAATCCCCTAACTGCCCAAAACGACGTCGTTTTGGGCAGTTTATTTTATTTTATTTTATTTTTTTTCTGAAACAGAGAGAGAGAGGGGGAGAAACAGAGGAGAGGAGAGAGGGAGAAAGAGAGATGATGAGAGGAGAGAAGGGAAACAGAGAGAGAGAGACGGCGGGTGCGACGGTGGGTGTGCGAGCAACGGTAGGTGCGACGGTGGATGTCGATCGCAGATCGCAGCTCGTCGCTCGTAGCAGCTCGTTGGTTGATCGCAGCTCATCTGCCGATCGTCTCCGTCTCCACCCCGCCTCCGTCTCCACCCCGGTTGATATTGGCCCTCTCCAGTCCTTCTTCTTCTTCTTCTTCTTTCTTTCTTCTTCTTCTCTTCATTTTGGGGGATTCGGGAGCTCCAAATTCGAGCCCCCCAGCACGACTCATGAGAGAATCAACCCCGAGACATTCAAAATATAAATTACAGTAATAATGTTAGATATCATAAAAAAAAATATTATGAAAAATTTTCATAAAAATCTCAATCCTTAAATTAATATTCAAAATTTTACATTTTAGAGTCTAAAATTAAATATGCAACGCAATGCACGTGCTACGAACTTTAGTTATCTTTCAGTGAGAGACGAAGGGCCCGGCATTCACGGTCACAAATTTTGAAGGCTCTTTTGACCGTTAAAATCAATGGAAGCATATTTCCACACTTCACAGTACTATTTGGCATGTGTAGTCCGTGACAAGTTCATTTATTTTAAAATTCTCTATCTATAGATTAGTCATAATAAAAAAATAATAATAAATTGATTTAATTGTTGTAGTCATATCATTTTATTAAATTTATCTTAAAAAATTTATAAGTATGATTATAAAATAGACTATCTAATTTTTTGAAAAAATTGTGTGCTTAGGAATATTTGATGAATTTGATTTTGGTTTTGCTTTTACTTTTGCTTCTTTTCTTCTTCTTTTTTGAATGTTATAAACAGAGAATTATAAAATAAATGATTTTGATTATTAAAGTGGAGCTCGTGATAGCCCTACGGACCCAAATAGGTAAATTCCAATTGAACAGAAACTCTATCAACCCACTAAAACAGTCAGGAAAATTGCCATGAAAAGTAATTGAGATTTAATTGACGTATTGTAAAGTCTAAATATAAAATGAATTTAGACCATATATTATTATTTCTGGGTAAAATTATGAGTAAATTTTGTAAGTTTGTAGTCTTAATCCTAATTGAAATAGCTAATGGAGCAACAATTCTAGAAAGTTGGCCATGTGAGGGTTTCATTTTCGTTTCTTTAAAATACAGAAAATGTGAAAACTCAAAGGAACACTTGTTTTGAAAAACTGTTTTCAGATTTTTTATTTTTTTTATTTTTTTTGATAAAAAGAAAAGGGGGAAAAAAAAAAAAACAACACTGTTTTCAGGAAAATTTTCTGAAACACTCCTCTTCTAGAAACGCTTTTAAGTTATTTTTTTGAATTTTTAAAATCTGTCTTTCTGTAAAAATGAAAACAAGTGTTTTCAAGATTTTCATTATTTTTTTTTAAAATAAAAAGAACGAAAACAGTGAAAATAATAATAACTTTTCACCTCGCTTCAGAAGCTTTTATATTTTTCAAAATAATAAATTTAAAATGATAAAATATATATATGTTTTATTTTTCACCGAAAGTTTGATAAAATTATATATATATATATATAACAACATTTTTCTGTAACTAAATGATACTATAGAGAAATAATCTTATTTAATGCCACTAGAGAGAGAGAGAAGAAAAAAAAAAAAAAGATTTAAAGTAATAATAATGATGATAATAAAATAACATTACTTTGTTGCTATCACTACAAGAAAACACATTTTTGCCGACCATTTTTGGCTACCAAAACAAATTTAGTCGCCAAAAGTGTGGGAATTGGCTACCAAAATTAATTTTAGTCGGCAAAAGTCAACTTTTAGCTACTAATTTTTTTTAGTAGAGGAATGTTGATTATTGGCGACTAAAAAAAATTTAGTAGCTAAAAAAAATACAATTGGCGACTAAAAAAATTTTTAGTCGCCAAAGACCTACTTTTGGCTACTAAATAGTTTGGTAGCCGAATGAAAATAAAAAAATTATAAAATACCTTTGGCGACCAAAATGTTAGTCGCCAAAAACAGGGGATTCACCAACTAAATTACTTTTTAGTCGCCAAATGACTACTTTTGGCTACTAAATAGTTTGGTAGCTGAATGAAAATAAAAAAATTATAAAATACCTTTGGCGACCAAATTGTTAGTCGCCAAAAACAGGGGATTCACCGACTAAATTACGTTTTAGTCGCCAAAGGACTACTTTTGGCTACTAAATAGTTTGGTAGCCGAATGAAAATAAAAAAATTATAAAATACCTTTGGCGACCAAAAGTTTGGTCGCCAAAAACAGGGGATTCACCGACTAAATTACGTTTTAGTCGCCAAAGGACTACTTTTGGCTACTAAATAGTTTGGTAGCCGAATGAAAATAAAAAAATTATAAAATACCTTTGGCGACCAAAATTTCGGTCGCCAAAAACAGGGGATTCACCGACTAAATTACGTTTTAGTCGCCAAAGGACTACTTTTGGCTACTAAATAGTTTGGTAGCCGATTGTTTAATAAAAAAATTATAAAATACCTTTGGCGACCAAAATGTTTGTCGCCAAAAACAGTATGAATAGATTAACAACAATGACATTTTATGTCTCCACTTGAAATTTGACTTTCTTTTTTTTTTAATGAGAAAAATAAAATTGAAAGAAGCTTATTTTTTAAAAATAAAAATGAAAATGAAAATGAAACATGCTTATTAATTAAATAAAAATGAATTCCCATTAGTAGTAGGTATATGAATAAAACAATCAGATTTATTGAATTAAGTGGTAAAAGCCATGGCTAGTTGGCTTTATTAGGCTATACTAGAATCCAAATGGTTTATCATCTTCTAAAATTAATTTAAGGTTTACTATGTTACTAAGATAAAATCTTGGGTGTATTTTGTGATTAAAAATTTAATATAATAAACTAGTTACAATTGAATAATAATTTAATTAAATCCACTTGGCACATGATTTCTTCATCTGTCTTTATCTATGACAAAATATACATATTGCATGTTCTAAAATTTTAAATCAAATTGATTAGTGCCTAGTTAGTCATGCAGGAGTCCCAAAAATAAATTAACTATATTTTACAATATAAGAATATAAGAAAATATAAGAAATTTTTTAAAATATAAGAATATAAGCAAATATAAGAATATAATATTTTAAAATATACTATTATATTTTTCAGTAAAAAAAAATATTAGGACAAATATTTAAGATAATTTAATTTTTGCCTTTTTTTTTTAATTTATAATTTTATTACTTATATTTTTATTTAAATATAATTTTAATATATTTGTTATTTTTATTTTAATTTTTTTTGAAGTTGTTATTTTACTTTTACCGACTAAATATTAGTTGGCGATTATAATTACAAAATTTAAAAATTGTGCTTCATATTTGAGGGAAACTTCGGAGGGAAACTTTATTACTTCTTTCTTTTCTCTCTCTCTTTCTCACTCTCTCACGCCTCTGCCCTCCTCCAGCTCTCTCTCTCGCCTTTGTCTCCATCGTCGTCGGGTACGGGAGCATCACTGCCATCGCACACAAGCACCACCGTCACTGCGTATGCGATTCCACTTTGATCGACTCAGCCTTTCCTCTTTAATCTCTCTGAAATTATCTCTAGATCGACCAAGGATCTCCGGGCCACCATTATCACAGGTAAGAAAACTTCCATTTCTCTCTCTATTTTTCTGAAATCTGGTTCTTCTCTGATCTGATGAGTGAATTAGTTTTGAATTCAGTTCTGAAATGGTTTGATCTTTATTTGCTGATTTTGGATTGTTTTTCTCTCATCTGTATAGTTTCTCTGTGTATAGCAAAGATGAATCATGCTATATACTTTTTGTGTCTGCAAGGTGCTCGACAAAATGTCACAATGGCAACTGAAATTTGCATTTTGTTTAGGTGAGTCTTTTGACTGAAAATGGAAACACCAAGGATGATTTGAGGCTCCCCACTGATGATGCTCTGCTCCCCACTGAAAATTCTAGCGATGACTGGTATATTTCTTTAGCCAGGTGGCTGAAATTTCTATAAATGATTCCAACCATAGAGCCCTTAACACATGTTAAAGGCATTTATCCATGTGTTTAGGTACTCCACAGTAAAAACAAACTTGGACCGAGCTTAATTTTATGCTAACAGTCCCACCTGTTTGCAGTCACCACTGCAAATAGTACATACTTCATTGACTTTGATCAGTTAATGTAATAAAAATTCATTGAGACTGAATTTTCAACTGTTCTCTGTTACTTCATTGATCTATGCCTCGCTTGTTAGTGCTTCATGTCTTGCAACCTTACTTGAAGAAACAAACCTTTCAATAACTTCTCCCTATATCAGTCCTAAGGTAAAAATTTTCAGGAGGCATGAGTTATTCTTTGACAATTCTCTGATAAAGATACTCATGTAAAAAGGCATCTTGAATATGTGTGAATATGTGAATTGTTGCTGAATGAAATTCATTCCCCATCATTTGTGAAAACCATGAATTGACACTCAAATGCTTTCATGTTGGAGCTCTTTCATTTGGTCAAATAAAAGAAAACTACAAAAGCCCTTTGGCTTATATATTGCTGTTGTTTCTAAATTAAATTAAATTTTGATTGTTTTCTAAAGAGTTGTATAATCTTTTATAACAATATTTGCATCTGTTTTTGTTTTCATTCAGGTCATTGACAGGTCATTTGGCTTTGATACTGTTGTTGAGGAAGCTCAGCGAGCCATCAATGCTGTGCATGTTGAAGCTGAAAGTGTTGAGAATGGTGTTGGTGTAGTGAAGCTAATGGGCCGCTACAGTGGTAAGGTTGACTCCCATATGTTTCAGTGGTCATAACTGCATGGCTAAATTACAGATAATTAGATATCTAACTATGCAGTTTGGCCTGATGGTCACTCCGGGACCGTTGACCATCTTCTTTGCATGTTCCGATGCCAACTGGGCTGCTATGCAAACTTTTATTTAGTGTTTTGTTGTCTACATTTCCTTCAAAGCATCATTTAATTCAGGTTTGTGCATTTTGCTATTGCAAAACAAGCTTTAGAGTCACAAATCAAGATGAATATAGCTCTTGGTGCTACAACATATGAACATGCTTTTGCTTGCTTAATAAAATTTGCTCATAGCTTGGAAGCAGTCAAAATAAATGAACCAAATAAAAACTTCCAGAGATTTTGAATGTGTGATTTTCCGTAGTTTTAAACTTTAACTCAATCTAATAATTTCATCAATGCTTTTCCTTTTTAGATTAGCTTCACTGGCATTATCCAGATTTTCCTTCATTTTTCTCAGATTTACTGGTGCAGGCTTCTTTGCAATGTATGCTACACTTGCCAGCCGAGATGTGGACTGTTGTTTGATTCCAGAATCACCCTTCTTTCTGGAAAGGGTAGTGGATGTAATAGATATTGGTGAACATGTTCTAAAACTCGTTAATTTTCTTGTTTGGGTAAGCTAGCGTCATTTGGTACTGTTAATTCTGTTGAATTGCATGCATTTAAATTCATGAATGTAATGAAACATTAGTGAATTTTTATCAGAAATGTTGGAAAAGGCAATAGCAACTCCTCAAACTGTTTCACCAATATAGTGTTCCCCATTACTTGAGGTATGTGTAGAATTAAAATTATGTCATAAAATTCTCTACTCAACTTTTTGAATGATCCCATTGAATGAAATTTCTAACTACGCTAGTTCTACTATATTTGAAGTCCTGTATAGGAGTAATGGGTATGTATAACTGTGTCATATATATGTGTGAAAATATATATATATATAACTGAATTTCTTTGCTTCTCTTCTATAGCCATTGATATGAGCTTGTTAAGTTGAAAGGTATTGCCAAAACTGACGCTTCATGTTCCATTGTCTTTGATGCCAGATGAACATGGCATTAGTGAATCGTCTTCACAGTTGCTGATAATATATTAGTGAATCGTCTTCACGCTTCATGCTCCATTGTCTACTCACTTATCTGTGCCAAGCTTCTTTATTTTTGAAAAACCTTGTTCTATGTTTTTCTTTGAAGGTACTGCTCATTTCCTTATTAGAAGAATAAAGAAGCATGTCCTAGACAAAACTACTCCTATACAGGACTTCATTTCCTTACTGCTCATTTTCTTTGAGTTCACTTTGTCATAAATAAATCAAAACAAGAGGAGACAAAACTACATATATATTTGTCACTTTGTCACTTTGTCATTTTCTTTGAGTTCACTTTGTCACTTTGAGTTCACTTTGTCATTTTCTTTGAGTTCACTTTGTCATATATATATATTATCATTTTTAACTATACAAAACAAGAGGTGAGGTTGGGTTGGTGTCCATATTGCCAGTGAAGTCAAAAAGGAGACAAAACTACAAGCATGAGAGTTAGCTATCATTTACATCATTATCAGTCCCAATGTGACGGAAATCCAAATACACTTGGTTTCAATTACAAAATTTCTTGAAGCTTGTTCAATGCTTTTAATGTGATTCTGTCTTACCTTAGGAAGCAAACTGCAAATGCTAAATTGTTTACCTTCTGAATAGAATATTTCTGGCCTTTACTATGTTCATCATTACCAGCTTGAATATTATGGGAGTGCAAATATCGCTTGTTTCTCCATTTTTATTTATGATTTTTGTGGGTTGTTGTTGTTGTAATGCTCTTCATTCATTAAACCCCTCAAACTGGGGTAAGTTGACTTTATCAGACTAATTTAGTGGAACTAGCTTCACTTTATCAGACTAATTTAGTGGATGTTGAACCTGTTTACTATTTTTATGCATAGAGATAGGCTTTGTTAATTTCATTATCCTCTGCTGCAATCTAGGCTTTCAGAACAAAGGAGAAAGAAACTCCAAGCAAAGGAGGCTGAATTGAGGAGGAGGGAGCAGGTACTTGTTTATACTAATTAAAATTGTAGCTTCCAAATATGTTTTACCTAGAATTGAATGGCTATTTTTTTAATTTTATTTTCATGGACACTTGGTATTAATCTTATTATTTTTTCATTTTATTTATATTATGCAGGATGTTTACATGTACTTCCGTGGCAGTGGCAAAGCAGCAGAGATGAAGCGTGAGGCAGCAAAACGGACAATGATGGCTGCACTGCCATGATTCAGAAAGATTCTTTGGTTTGATAATGCTGAGAGAAATCGAAACATTCACTATTTTTTTGCACTTGTGCCTAGTCTAGTATTTATAAGCCTTCATATAATCTTCTTAAAATATGTATGTAAAAGACAGATTCTGACAAACAAGTTTAAGTTAGGACATGTTGTGGTACATATGTCCTTTTTGGAAATTAATTTAGTTAGTCCTGTATTATGTATTAAATGAAATTATTGACGTTGGATTAGACTTGGTTCGTATGGAATTTGTATTATATATAGAATTGGAGGTTCAATATTAATGTTTTGGATGGTTGGAACTAAAATGTGTGCACATTGTTGAATACTTGAATGGTTGATAATATATTTAGTGTTGATGGATTATATTGGTTATACAATACAGGTTGTACTAAAAATGGATACAGGTTGTTTAGAATTTTTTTGAAAAAAAAAAACAAAACAAAAACAAAAAGTATTTGGCCACCAAATATTTTGGTAGCCAAATATGTAGCCAAATGTTTTGGTGACTAATAATTTAGTAGCAAAAACATAACCAAAAATTTTTTTGCTACTAAATAGTTAGTAGCTAAAATAATTGAGAATGAGATAAATAAACTATTGGCCACTAAATTTTTTAGTCACGGAAAAAAAATGGTATCATTTGGTGACTAAAACATTTGGTGGCAAAAAGTAATGTATTCTATTGGTGACCAAAATATTTAGTCTCTAATAGTTGGTTAAAATTTTTATGTAGAACTTTTAGTGACTAAAAAATTAGTGGCCGAAATGTCGCGTTTGCCGACTAAGTACGGGTTCGTAGCCAAATGTTAACTTTTGGTGACTAATTCTTTCGTAGCAAAAAGTAACACATTCGCCGACCAAATGAATGTTAGTAGCCAAAAGTCACATTCGGCGACTAATACTTTAGTGGCAGAAACATACCTTTTCCCGACTAAACTAAGATTAGTAGCCAAATGTGTACACTTTCGGCGACCAAATAAATTTTAGTCGCCAATACTATCGCCGACAGGGTAAAGACGACGAGCTTAGCGACAAAAAATTTTGGTCGCTAAATGGTTTCGGCGACCAAATTTTGGACTTTTGGCTACCAATATTTTGGTAGCCAAAAGTGATATTTCTTGTAGTGTATAGATTGAAGACGAAAATATAAGTACAAATAGGAATGTTGTGTAGTGTTTTTTTTTTTTTTTTGAGCTTGACTTTAATACTCTCCATATTATAGATAAAATCAAAATCTCCATTTCATATGAATATTTTTAAAAAAAATTAAATTGATTAATGGAGGTTTAAAAATATAAGGATGTGGTAGTCATAAACATTGATGTTGAATTTTATGATAAATAATATTTGGAACCTCCAAAATTTGAAAACCCATAATCCCCAATTAATTTATAACCACTCATTATTTATTTATTTATCTTTTTTTCCTCTTTCTCCTCCCTCTCTCTCACAAATGTGTATGGGGTGTGGGATCCGGGGTCCCTATCACCTTTGTTTTACCATATGTTATAACTTTATATATTAAAATGGGGTCTCTAATTTGCAACTTCAATTTGCACTCTTGCCAATAAATATTAAAAATAAATAAATAAAATAAAATAAAATTCTAAAACCACATCTTCTCCACATAATCAATTTTATTCAATTTATTTAAATTATTTTTTAGTCATAAACTGTAAACAAAAAATTACAACAAAAAACTATGAAGACTCCCAAAAAACATACAAACATACTTTAAAAATTACACCAAATGTACTAACTACAACAGACAAACAACTCTTGAATATTATTCGTAGGCATGCAAAGCCATGCAACAACATATTTATTTTCATAATTTTGGGGATAACTATTTATATATTTCCTCTCCATATTCATTAGTTACTACATAACCATGAAACACACGCACACACATATATATAAGATCTCTAGTAATTGACCTTAGAACATAATCAAAAACCACCCTAGTAAGGCCGTTCGCCCACATAATTTCCTGGAGGATAATAGTTGCAAGTGACAAACCACCCCTGATTCTGGCACTGAACCCTAGCACACCCTATTTGTGCGGTGTTGCTCCAAACAACTTGAGTGTAATGCAGGCACTCACCACCCACACATGAATTAGAATTGTGGTCATAGTTTGCCTTCTCATCCACCCACATCTTCACTGCATCCGACACTGTCAACTCACCGGAGCCTCCAGCGAGGTTCTCACCATATGGTCCCTGAGAATGTTGCATGTTGCAATCAGCACTTCTTTGAGTAGCATAGTTTAGGGCATATGCCGCGACGGTGTCGTTCCACGTCACGGGCCGGACCCCAACTTCCGCACGAGCTGCATTATGGGGTGCAAGGAAGTCTTGTGGGGAATTTTGGGCTAAGGAGAGATGAGTCATGATCAAGGCCATGAAGGAAACAATTACTAGTGAAATTTTTGAAAACTCCATTTTGATTTCCTTTTGTGCAATTGGGAGGCTTGGTTTAAGGGTATATTTATAGGCTTAGTGTTGGAAAAGTTACCATGGAAAATAGTCCTAGGCAAATTTATCCATGCTCACGAGGAAACCTATTAATGTGTCATAACAATTGTCCAAATTCACAAAAGGGAAAAAAATAATAATAATATTATTATAAATTATGTGGTTTATTAGCAATGGCTATGAGCAATCAAAGGAACACTTTTTTATTTGATTCACAATCAGAGGAAGACCTAGAAAGTGATTTATGTGTCCCAATGACTAGAAAATGAAGAAGGTGTTCACATGTCTAAGTTCTATAATTTTCTATGAGCTGAGATTGACGTTGATGATTGTTATGATATATACTGCAAAAGCAAAGCATACCACTATTAGTGAGAGAGACTGGCAATGATTTGAATATTACCTTATCTATGTCACCATGATTCATGAGTGATGTAAATATGATTTAAAGAGGATGTAGTTTCATACATTTAATCTACTGGAATTGTTTGGTTAATCACTTATGTATACTCTTTAACTAAGAAGTTAAGGAGTTGATCATTATAAAAGGTCATTACAAAACTTTATTGTACTTATTGAGTTTGTTTCCTTTCATCATGACTCTTTCCTCCTCCTGTCTTGTGTTGGTGGTTGGCATTGGTCATTGAGCCAATAAATTTGTGTTAGTGTTTTATAATTATTTTTTTAATCTTTTGTCTATTGCAAGAATAATATATATAAATAAATAAATTGAGGGGTACATTTGATTTTACGCCATTGGCGGCCGGTTTTTAGCAATGTAGATAGACCACATTTTCAGCAATAATTGAAGGATGAACATGAAATGTTTTGGGAATTGCAAATCAGATTTTAAAAAAAAAAATTAACAACAATAGCAAAAAAGTCTTGTTAATGTACACTCTTAGAATACATGTTAAAATGAATTTAAAATATTATATAATTTTTATTACACTCATTTTCATATAAAAATTATAAATTTTATAAGTTTCTTAACACATGATTTAAGAGTATATGTTAACAAAATTCTTATAAAAAGTTACTAGAATCAAATGCTTCCGAAGGTATAAGGTGGAGTCTGTGCTTTACTGCAAGTGAAAATTATAATCAACCTTACACTAGAACATAAATTCCATTTGCAATTTTATATTTTTATAATTTTAATTATTTTCATTGATATGTATTTTCCTCAGATATTTTTTAAAGAAAAGTGAATCCCATTTTCTATTCTCTGTTGTCCCAAATTTAAACTTTTTTGTTTTTTTGAGTTACATTAATGGCTTTCTTAGTCCAATATATTATTAATGCTGAAATGAGACCTAAAGTATACAAGGTTGACTGTGAATATGTGAAATATAAATTTTGAATGCAGTTTGTTGAGTAAGTTGTTGAATTTTTTATTTGATGACAAAATTTGATTATGAGAAAAACTATGTGACAATTGACAATTGACAACTAACACCCAAATGACGGAAAAAAATAAAACAGGAAAAAAAAATTCCAACCCACAATTTTAAGATGACATTTTAAAAAACATCAACAAAAAATCTAAGGGGACCTTTATGAATAATTGCTAAAACTTAATTGTGTGAAAAGTTCTGTTTGGTGACAAAATAACTGTTCCTAGTAAAAATCTATAAAAGAATATATATCTCAAAAATAAATAAATTCCTTAAAACATAAAATCAACATGTAATAAACAAAGGCTTCAAGAAAAGATCACCAAGTACTTGCTCTAATCCCGGCGCTCAAAAGCAGGTTACAAGAAAGTGGGAGATATACCAATGGAAAGAGACCATCATTACAAATATCATTGAATGAATAGTGATTAGTTCCCTATACTAATCGAAATAGAAGAATCGATCCGAACATGCTAAACAGAACAATCATTGCAGCTGCAAGACGCTCCGGCATTGGGGAGCCAGAACATTAAACATTTCATCTTCGCAAAATACACAATCTTTCCCAAAAAAAATTTCAATCAACAGCTATCTAACTAACATAAACACCAAAAAACAAAAAGAAAAAGAAAGAGTATCATGGTTTCTACTAAATGTTAATAAGCTTTATGGGAACAGAAGACATATCTCGGCACTGTTTTCACCAAGAAGTCATGTTATCTGGATATTTTCGGTGGCATGATTTGAGATGGAAAACTTGGCAAGCTGGCTTGTACGATATTTTGGTTGCCGCCTGCTCAAACTTCTTAGTAGCAGCTTCATTTTCTTCTATGCTGGTCTGTAAAAGAAACCTTATCCACCAAGTTGAGCTTCTCAATTTGGCCTACACAAGAAAAAACATACTAGCATGTCAAGTTTTTAAAGTCAAACTATCCAACCAATGGTTTTTTTCCCCAAAAAGGTACAAAATGGATCGTTGCTGTTAAAGTGGGAGCAAAGCAACCACGCAACAAAAATCAATGTTCACAAATGAGATAGCACAGTTCTCCAGACACCGTCCTTAACAAATCAAACATCGTATGGGTAGAATCACTCGGGCTTCCATAACTCTCAAAATATCAGTTCAAGTAAATTTCTGCTTAGTATTCTCTCTCCTATGTAGTCTGTTCAATTTTCTCAACAAAGAATGAGCTTTAGAATTTTTGGTACCTAATTTTAGTAAATATTAACACCATATTATTATTTCTTGAAGAAAATAATGGGGATCTATAGATTTTTAGTGGATAAGCTATTCATTGTTGAACTTACAAGCTTTTGACATTTTCGATGTAATTGAGTGGGTTTTCAAGTTGATTAGTGTTAGTTTTACATTATTTTTGGTTGTTTTTGGATTAAAAATATAATATGTGTATATATATAATATATTCTGTCCTATCCCTGCTTTGTCCGTATCATAATTTTTTTAATTCACCTGCCCCAAGTTTGTATTAATGTTTCTCAGCTTCTAGTAGTGGTAGCAATCCAATATGAGGGTAGCAACCCAATATGAGATCAGTAGGAGTTTAGAATCTTAAACATGCACTGCTTCCATCAGGATTTTTCTAGAATCATTTCACGCATCTACTTCACAGAGATACCAGGTGCAGGTCTATAAACTGTATTAGATAATATTTGATGCTCCTCGATCAATGAGTTCTATCATTTAAGATGTCAATCCAATACAATCCATAATATAAATATACCATCAGAGACATATTGACAAATATATAATCCCTTCAATGAATAAGGAATAGATTGCAATCCAGCAAAAGATTGGTGACTTACCGGACGACCAAATTTGGATAGCTCTGTCGCTTTAGCTCTACGCTGACCTGGATAACCTACATATGACAACAACAAAATAGCAAAAATTAAGCTTGAAAAAGTTGATTATCTCAAAGCTGAGAGAAGGGTGTTTTTAGCTTTTGTTTTTTGATTACCTTTTAGCTTGAGAAAAGTTCCACAAAACAAGCCCATCATCAATTGAAATATGGTCCCCATTGGTCAGAACAAGTACGCAAACCAAACTTTACGGCCTAGTTGGATATCAAAATGTTCAAGAATATATAAAATGTAGGCCTGTTTAAGGGATTTACCAGTAAAAACAACAAAATCTTCAGACTATACCCTTGCCAACTCCAGCAGAGTCTTGTTAAGGTACCTTGGCGACAGATAGTCTAATGTATCTGACACTATGACAACAGAAAATGATTTTGACCGGTAGGGTAGAGGGAACTTGATGTCAGCCACACGCACAATGCCTTTGTGTACCAGACTCTTGCAGTTGCTATCAGCATCATCTAATTCATATGGTTCAACACCCCAGGCTTCAGTATCCTCTTCTTTTAGTAATTCAGAGACAACCGTACAAGTTTCAGGGCCTATATGAAGCACTTTACGCATGCTGTCACCATATGCTTTCTTCAAAATAGGCAATGCTTTCTGAGCTTCTAACATGCAAGAAACACCACCTGCATATTCATATTTTCTCTTTAAATTGGGAAATGCTGGTCCCTATCTGCAGTTGCTTACCAATACAGCAGTTAATATAAAAAAGGGGAAAAAGAAGAAAAATAAAAAAGGGACCACTTCAAATACCCTGACAAGACGAGATTTTTTGTGGTTTACATATGTAAGACTGTAAGATTTCTGAATGATTTCTGTATATTCAATTGTGTATGTTTACAAAGAGTACATCAGTTATATAGCCCTAATCTATGACAGAAAAAGGAAATACAAAGAAAAGGGAATTGCCTAAAATTGCCTAATTCCTAATATACTATATATACAATATATATTTTCACACCTCCACTCAAACTCAAGGTGTTTTAGTAGAAAACACTGAGAGTTTGTTAAGAAGAAATTGAAACCGAGCGGTAGTGTGAGTCTTGGTGAAGAAGTCCGCAAGTTGCAAAGTCGAGGAGACAAAATGAAGCGAGATAGAGCCAAACTGCAAATACTGCTGTACAAAGTGACAATCAATCTCAATGTGTTTCATCCGTTCATGGAAGACAGTATTGTGGGCAATCTAAATAGTACTGCGGTTGTCACAATAGAGGGAGGTCGGAGAAGACTAAGGTACACCCAAATCAGAGAGAAGACAACGAAGTCAAACAAGCTCAACGGTAGCATGAGCCATAGCACGGTACTCAGCTTTGGCAGCAGAGCGAGCAACAACAGTTTGTTTCTTACTTTTCCAAGAGATCAAGGAATCACCAAGAAACATACAGAAACTAGAGGTGGACTTGCGATCAGTAACATCACCAGCCCAATCAGAATCAGCATAGGCCACCAAGTCTAAAGAGGAAGTAGACGACAACAGCAAGCCCTGAAAGATAGTACCTCGGAGGTAGCGAAAAATGCAAACCAAAGTAGCCCAATGGGTAGAGCGAGAAGTAGAAACGAATTGACTAACCACATGAACAACATAAGCAAGATCAGGACGAGTGACAGTCAAATAAACAAAACAACTCACCAGCTCGCGATAGGCCGTGGGATTATCTAGAGGGACACCATCAGTAGAATTGAGCTTCATATTAAGCTCAATAGGTGTGTCAAA